AGCATGCCACGTGAGGGGGGTTGGCCCTCCACGTGCTCAGTGGCGAACCTGGAAGTACTTCCAGTCCACTTCCGGGTCTGCCGGGAAGCGTGCTGGGGCCCCCCCACACCTCCCTGGTTTGGCAATCAGCCACAGGGGAACCCCGGGTGCCCCCCCAGACTCAGGAAGCACCAGTCACCGAGCTAGGAGGGCGTGGGGAGGTCCCCCTGCGCACTCCCCGGTGGACCCAGAAGTGTACCTGAACAGCTTCTGGTCCACTTCGGGTCTGCTGCTGACTGCACTGAGGAGCCCCCTGCACTCCCGTGGGACACTCCATGCACCCCAGCATTCACGAGCTGCCTGCTACCTAGAGGTATGTAGAAAAAACATTTAAAGCTGTGTCTATGATCGAATCACCGAATCTTTCTGTATCTGTCTGAATTGATTTGGAGGGTTCCAATTCGATTTGGAGAGATTAAAGGGTCCTCTGATTCAGTTTGGATTTGGAAACTCAGCCACCGAATTGGGCCGAATCTCTGCCGAATCGAATCAGGGACTGAAGTTTCACACAGCCCTATTATTTAGTACTTGTTTATACAAGTACTCTGGTTACTGCATAGTCATTTAGTACTTGTCCAGTCCAGTCAAACAAGCTTTAGTTCAAGTGCATTCCCCCCTACCCCCCACCCCCACCATTTTTAAGATGCTGATACATGAGACGTGGTGGCACTTTAATTAGAACTATTCTTGAAGCTGCTTTAATTAAAGTGCTGCCCCCCCCGAGAGCACGTATAAAAGTGCCCACGGTTTCTCTTGGGAGAGCTTCAACTCTCCCAGGAGAAACCGGATGTCTGCACCACTTGTGAATTACTATAAAACAATGAGAGGGATAAATTTTCTCTGATGTAAGTATACAGAAATCAGTAGAGCTTTGCCAGATATGCTTTTGGCTTCATGACTATAATGTTCGGCCATAAGGAGGGAATTAAAAGGTGCACAGTTCAGAACTCATCTTCCCTGTAGGAAGCAGTGGAGAGACCTCTCTTATTTATCCTACTTATTGTGTCAAGAAGAGTGATAGTTCTGGAAGTGGGTAGATACACCTGATATCCAACCTTGGTCAGAAGGCTGAGATCCTGAGGAACAGGCACCTTCAACCAACATTAATATTATCTATATTAAAACGTGGATATTTTTACTTCTGGTTGTATTTGAACACAGATTGACCATTTCCTGGAACTGATACACACCCAAATTCCTTGTACTATCTTTGACTTTTCTGAATGGCAGGGCAGATATGGATCAATAGCCACAAAGAGCAACAACTGTGCCCCCCTTACTTCAGGGTAGTTGAATGGAATGTCTCCATTTTCACCTGTAATCCATATTAAGACTAGGCACAGTTCTAGGTACTGAGCAAGGAAGTCAGTTTCTTGGGTGCTTACAGAAGTCTCAGCCTACATATTTCCTATTTTTCTCCCTTGGGATGTAAGCCTTCCCTTTGCTTTGTTTCATTTGACCTCACCATCTTTAAGGAAGGACCTGCTTGGAAATAGAAAAGTGTCTTGACTTATCATTTAAAAATCTGGTCAGTCTATTTGTTTTGTTTCTTTAATCTTCTTTTAAAAAATTGTTCTGTTTTTAAGAAACCTCCTGGAGTCACCCCATTCAGGTGTTTGCTACATAGTAAAAGCAGGAGTTATCAGACACAGCAGTATATTCCTTCTCTTCTCAAAAGAAAGGAGTTACCAGCATCTCTCCCACTGAGGACTCTATAAATGAGAAAGACAAGGATTGTTGGAGTACAGATCAGCTTTAGAGAAATGCCCTATGCTGAGAAGGCAGAGTGTGCATGCAACTTTAGTGAATCCAGCCCTAAGCAGCACAGAAATATTAACATGTTTAGAGCTACGTCCTGAAATCTTGAATGTCAGCAAAAACAAACTGGGCCTCATCCTCACCTGCCTTGTACTTGTTGTGCAGTGAGGTCAGTGCCGGATTATGACATATTGAGGCCCTAAGCTATGTCCATTTTAAGAGGCCCCATACGATAAAAATAATCGACGAAATCCATGAAAATGGATTTTCATGAAATTTTAAGATGAATTATTATTTCTGCACAAATTTATGAACACAATATGAATAACAACTGTGGAGCCATATATATGTATATTTTTGTCATATTAGAATTAAAAGGTCCAGGGTTTTTTTTCTTATTTAGAGGCCCCTCACATTGTGAGGCCCAAAGCTGTAGTTTAAGCCTAAATCCAGCACTGAGAGGGGTAGCGTGCTACCAGAGTCAAATGGAAGCATTTTACCTCACTTTGCACAGCCTAAAAGTCTACACAAGAGCAAAGGAGTACCCAATCCACCAGCTGATGTTTCAGAAGGGATTTTGAAAATGTATGTTAAGAGACTGATGTTCTTTTTTTCCTCCCTCCCTCTTAATTTTAACAGCACTCGCAAACAAAATTACATGATGAATTTTTCACGGCAACATGGGCTCAGGCATTTCTACAACAGAAGACGAAGGTCACTTAGACGATACCCATGAAGAAATGAGAAATTTATTTTTTCCTCCCAACATGTGATGTGTTGCTTTCCATTCTTTAAATCTAGCACTGCGTCTGGTATCAGGACTTTTCCACAACAGGCTTGGTGAAAAGCTGAAAGCCTTTCTCAAGACAGAGTGTACACCACTTTTTCGCACTGTGAACTAATGAGAAGTGACTTATTTTCTCATAGGTAAATGTTTTAATGTTGACGTGTCTGTGAAAAATTGTGATCTGTTGTAATATCAGTTACAGTGGCAGTATTGGAAGTAAGAAACTAATTCTGTTTAACAGGAAAAAAAAATTTAAGCACAAAGACTTTTCAGATGTTATGTTTAAAAAAACTACATATTAAGTACAGTATTTAACATTCTTTGTCACATAGCTATTTAAGTGCACTGTATTTCAGCTCTGTGTCATATTTTATATGATTAAGTTATCATTGTTTGTCTTTGTATTCTCTTCTACAACATGACACATTGGCACTGTATTTACTTGTTATGTTGTTGTAATATTTTGCTGCTGATTTTTGGGCTATTTTTCATTCTGATAACATGCATAAAAGAAACTGAAATATCTAATCAAGTTAATTGCAAAAGTAGTTATATAAAGACGTTGATATCCTGCAGTCTTACTCTTTGATATGTCTGTTGGTTAGCATTGTTTTGTGGATAAAAAGAATGTTTGGCATTAAAACTTTTTCTACTAAGCAGCTGTGGATGAAGCCCCAAACAGAAGTTCCCATTTCCTTGTTTAAAAGTAATCAGTTCTCTGTGGCTGATTTACTTACAGTAACTGCCATTTGGTGTCTGTGGTAATGGAGTGACTTGTAAGCAGTGAACGTTTCATCGTGTTCTATTTGGTGTTTGTTTCTATTGCGGGTCATGTTTGTATCTTCTGATAAAGTTGTACCTACACCAGCAACATTATAATGCCCCTATAGCCCTAAACTGTCTATTATCATAAATAAAATGTTTCACTTTATGGTGAACCAAGCTAAAGATCCATGCTTCAATAAAGATAATGTCAATGAACAATTTTGATGTTAGATTTTTCTAGCTATTTGGGTGCTAACTGAAATTATTAAATAAACAGCTTAGTTTACTTACCCAGATTCTAATATCTTGCAAATTCTCTAGAATATTTTTCAATATTTAGTACATTGTGCTCCAATAGCATCTTTCTTCTGAGCGATTTACAGGCATTAGCTGATGAAGCTTCCTAAAACCTCTGAGATATGAAAATATTTTACAAATGAAGAATTTGAAGACATCAAATTCTAGCCTGGAAGTCCTGAAGCAAGGCACCTAAATCCATGTTTAGGCCCCTAAAATGGAGATTGCTTTCTCGCAGATGAAAAGCCCATCCAATTTTAGTGAGAATTGTGGGTGTTGGATGCTTCTGAACTTTGAGTCATTATGTGCCTAGCACTGAGCACCTGGAATTGAAAACTTTGATTTAGTTCAAGTTACACAGTGCACCACGTGACAGAACTAGGAAATGACTCCAGACCCCAAAGGTCCTGTACTGTGGACAGAACCATATTGTTATTAAGAAGAGGATGTGCACTTGCAGGGTTATTGAGCTGTTGAATAAGATAAATGAACTACTTGAAAAAGACGGTCCTAGGAAACTAACTAAAATATTATTAAAGAATATAATATTTTGAAGTTGAATTGGGATTTAAAATTGTATAATAGATAGCCCCACCTGCTGATCAGAGATATAAGACATTTCTTTAGGATAATTTTATTTGGCCTAATATATCAGTAAATGGACAATATATCAACATACAGGATGTATGTAGATGTTATGCTACAACAAAACAAATTTCTATTGTGCAGACACAGTACAGGGAATGAGGAGAGCTAGTCTGAGTTCATCACACTCCAGATAAGTGAGATCACAATAGGCATATCAGTGGCCTTCTATAGTTATAGACATTTGTCTCGGATAAAGATTTGTGTGTGACAATTTGGATCTATTTAGGTGCATATCCAGACCCCTCCAATGTAGTAGTATACAGGAAAACTACTTCTCTGTGTTATAGGCCACAGTGAATTCTGTTCTTTGCCTATTCCAGGTTCTAGGAAGCTGGCTCTTAATTCTTCTAGTTGTATAACATACCAGATAACTTGCACATACTTTGTGTTCAGTGTACTTAATGGTTTTTTTTCCTCACCAATGACTGATAAAACAGTAGTATCAACTAACAGTAATGGTCACTGAAATATCAAGATAATATAGCACTTTAGCAATAGCAACAGCAATTATAAAATGTACCAATAAGTTTATCTACAGGTATTAAGCCTTGGCAGGGAAAACTGTGAAAACTGTTAGCCTTTTGTCCCTGCCAATCTTTCCCAGGCCTGCCAGTGTACATATCCCCATTCCAGTAGGATAAGAAAAGTTCAAGCTCAATAGGATATGAATTTAAAAATATGGCAGTAAGCAAAATTCTAACCTGCTGGAGTCCAGGAATAACCCAGACAAAATCCACAGTACTGTAGTTTGCTTATATGCATGTTGCCCAATTTGTTTTTTTAGACAACACTCTCTTAGAGTCAGTAGGGTTGATATGCCACTGTGCAACAACACAATACACTATTAATATTTAAACAATCCTGCTGGCCTTATAAAAACATACTGACCTATGAGATGTTCTTCTGCAGAAAACAGAAGCTTAGCCTTAAAATATGCTGAATAGCTAACAGATCTTAACTGCTAAATCTGCCCCAGTGTACCCAAATCAGAGGGGGCAGGTACAGTTATTCAATGACAGAAATATATTACATTGATGCCAAGTTGGAAGGGATTGTCAAGGGTGGAGAATAGGATCAGAATTCAACATGATCATGCTAAATTGGGGAAATGGTCCAAAATCAACACAATTACATTTGACAGAGACAAATGCACATCAAATGCCAGTGAACAAACTCAAGATAATTGGCTAACCAGCAGTACTTCAGAAGAGACTCTGAGGGTTACAGTGGATCATAAACTGCATACTAATCAATGATGTGATGTTGTTGCAAGAAAGGCGTAGGATGTATTAGCAGGAGGTAAACATTCAACTTGAGTTACCAGTGGTGAAACCTCAGAGCATTATGCTGAGTTTTGAGTATGGAACAGGGCTTCTAACTCCACTACTGAAAGGGGGAAGACACGAGAGGGGCCCAGGTACCTTTAGGATGACCCTGTTGTGAATATAAGCTGGTCTTCAGAATGTAGAAGGGGCTGCTGCCGGGCACTGAGCTCTGGGGGAGCAGCTGCCAGACCCTAGACTGCCATGAGAGTCACTGCCTGAATCCTGCTATTGAGACTGGCACCAGGCAGCAGATCTAAAGTAGCTGCAGCCTTCAAAGTGTTAATAGTAAGTACTGCAGGAGCTGAGCCATAGACAATTAATGGAGGGAGGCAGGACTGCAGCAGAAGGCCTGCTAATTAAGCTAATAGGAAACTACCTCTCCCTATAAAGGGGACTTGAGGCCAAGTGGCCAGAAAAAGGAAGAGCAGAAGCACATATAAGCCAGTCTCAGGGGTTAGAGCCTCAGTTTGGGCCCTGCTTGAGCGGGAATAGGACTCTGCATGTCCTAGGGCAGGGGTGGGCAAAATGTGGTCTGGGAGCCAGATGCAGCCCACCAGGCCATTCTATCCGGCCTGTGGGGCCCCTAAAAAATTTAGAAAATTAATATTAATCTGCAATGAGCTGCCTGTCATGTAGCCCTTGATGGCTTGCCAAAACTCAGTAAGCAGCCCTCTGCCCAGAATAATTGCCCGCCCCTGTCCTAGGGAGAAGGAGCTTTGCAGAACCTGGAGGATAAGTGCTTGTGTACCCTGAAGGCCCACAGACCCTGAAATTAAAATGTTGCTTAGCAGCAGAGCCAGCTGTAGGGAACATGGCACCCTAAGCAAACTCGTATTTTGCTGTCCTGTCTCCCGCTCCTCTGGTGCCACCCCCCCTCTCCCAACCCCACACACACACACACACACACACACATCAGTAGCACTGCTGCAGGCAGACCCAGGGAGGCAGGGGCACAGGATACAGTTCAGTGGGGAGACAGAGCTGCATGGTACTGCCCCTTGCATTGCCCAACCCAGCTCTTCCTGAGCAGTGGCTGGAGGTGGTGGGGAGGCCCAGGATGGACACCACTCCTCCTGCTTGGGGTGGGGGGAGAGCACTGCTGTGAGCACAGGCTGCTTACACATGTGTGACCATGTGTATGCATGAGGTGCCCCCCTGACCACAGCACCCTGGGCATTTACCCACCCATAAGGCTGGGTCTGCTTAGCAGATAACAAACAAAAGGTAAAACCTTAATCACTTAACTATTTATACCAGAGAGGCATGGGTGTGGCTATGGGGGAGGCTAGAGGCCACAATTAGTGCCAGGAAGGCACAGAGTGCTTGGTAGTAGGAGCCTAGAAATTCTGAAGCTGAGATAATGGGCTGCCCGGGAGCCCGGTGAACTGTACCCAGGGTTTTAGCCGGGCCCCAAGAGAGAAAAAAAGAAAGCCCCAGTGGAAGATAGGTTCCAAGACCTGCACCCTGGCCAGTTGAGAGCAGATTTCCAAACCAATCATTTACAACATCAAGGTGTGGCAGGAGAGGTGGAAGAGTGTACCACTTGCCAGAGAGAGAGAGAGAGAGAGAGAGAGAGAAGACATCCAGGGGCTGACAGAGTACCATACTTTAAGAACAATGTAAATGATTCTGTGATTCAAGAGACCAGAAACAAAAATAAGAGCTTGAAAACATAACTTCCAAAGAAAAGTTAAAGGCATTAGGATTTCTTTAGAGAAGAGGCGAACATGGGTAGCATGTGAGAACATTCACTGAATAAAATGGCTAGATTGCTTTGGCACCTACATTACCACATTTAAAACTAGCTTGGATATCTGTACGTTGCCCTACAATTTTCAGCGTAGCCATATCCAGGGACTGAACTAGCTCTAGCGGGGGGTGGGAAAAAACCCTGATCCCTGCTTTATTGACTCTGGCTTATTGACTTATTTATCTTTAGAATTATATGAATAAAATTAATGGTTTAAAATGCTGTCACACATTCAACGCGTTTATTAGTCAGAGCCGCATAGTCTGAAACCACCTTTTGTTCCAGTTACCTTATCACAAGCAGGAAATGGTAATCAAATTGTGTAAGAACCACTACAGCAGGCTAGTAACTGCCCACATGAGTGCAATATGTGTAACAAATGTAGGACTGAGGCTGGGGAAGGGGTAATAGAGAGCCTCTGCACTTCCCCTGTCCTGGCCCAAACAGTGGCTACTTTGGCTTTATACACAGGTTAGGGCAGCCTGAAAACCTCCTTTTCCTCACACCTCTCTTCCCCTCCCCCAGCTATCACCCCCTCCAGTGACTGGTGCAGCACTCCAGAATGGCTTGAGCACAATGCAGCCACCTCTATCACATCTCCTTGCATCAAGTGCTCCCGTAGGGTTGCCACAGAATCAGCTATGCTAGAAAGACTCCTTGAAGAAGACTTCCTTGAAACCATAGCTATAACCTTTTATTACAAGACTTCTTACAGTGCTCTTATCAGGATCTTCTTCCAGGCTTACTGAGATTAGTATACTGATAATCAGTTAATAGAAGCAATTAAGGGTCCAGTACAAACCCAACTGAAAGCAATGGGAAAACTCCCGTTGATTTCAGTGGGTTTTAAATTGGGCTGTAAATTACTATCTGAAACTGGGCTCATTCAGCTGTTAAGATCTTTACAAAAGATTTCAGAGCCAGAGGTAAGAGTCTGTGCTGCCCTCCTCTGTCCTTCCTCAGGCAGACACCATCGGGGGGACATATTACCAGTTTTTCTGTTAAAAAATTTACCATTGTGTTTATTAAATGAGGGCATTTGACATGGATTAGAAAGCTGCTGTTATTCCAGTGATGTAGAGAATGGATCTGTTCAACACTTGTAAATGCCAAGTACTACTTTCCTTTTTCAGAAAAGCCTCAGAGCCCTGACAGACCTGACCTGTGAAAAAGTGGCGCACACTATTC